TCTTAATAAATTGATGGATTAAATGTTTGATTTATTAATAATAATATTTCTATATTAATAATAATAATAAATCATATAATAAATAAATAATTACGTAATTATTCTTGCCAAATAATTTTTTATTATATATAAAAAAATAAATACAAGATGTGAATGTAGTTTATAATATATTATATTAAGATCTATTTATCTAACTTTCAAGTAAAATCACTTTTTAACTTTACCCTTTTTATTTCTCTCTCTTTATTAGTCTGAAGCGTAGTGAAAAACTATTATAGTTTAGACTCAGTGATACAAAATGTTGATTTATCTGCCTGCTTGACCTATGAGATGATGACGTTCAGTTACTATATTTTTCAGTGTTACTCATGATCATTTCCCAAATCTTATCAAATTTATTTAAAAACTTTTTGCATTAAAAAAAAAATTTTTCGCTTTATATATTTTTTTTTATTTATATTGCCATTTTTTCTGAAAAATATGAATTAAAATAATATTTTGATGCTTTATTCCTATTTTTTTTTAACGTTTCTTACTGTTATGTTAAATTGTGTCTTCTTTCAGTATTAATAAAACTAGTTGTCCTTCTTCGAGCTTTCTTTCTTGTAACCTTTGCAAGTTCTTTATATAAAGCAATCTTTTGAATATAAACTGTTTAAAGGAGATATTGTTTAGTGAATAGATACGTGATATTGTGACAAAAGAAAGTCCCACCATAAACTTTTTGCTTTTAAGATCAATTTTAGTCTTTTCTAATGTTAGTTCTTAGCTCTTGTACACAGTAATCACCCAGATAAGACGTAAGAAAATCTGCAGACGTGAATACTGCATCCTGTTCTTATCTTCTCATGACCTTTTGATAGGCACAATAGGTACAACTTTAACACCTTCTAAGTTGGTGATTGTGAGTTTTTCATATTTCTCAAATGTGATAAATACTGCTATTGAAAGAGAAGGTGGCCCCTGTTTTTCAAATATGATGTCTTGTATGATTCCTATTGAGCCATTTACCAATTCACTTTTCATCTATATATTTGCTGTTAATATAATATGTGCACCTTTTGTCAACAGTAATTGTGCTTCAATACCTTTTGCTGCTTCTAAGTTGGCTTGTTTAGCTTCAACTCCTCCGCTGTGTATACCTACGATCTTGGCAACTGGTCGCTGCAATGATCTGAAGTGAATATTTCTAGAATATTTTCTCTACATCTCTGTCACATCTCCTATATCTTTCACGTTCTGGACTTCACAACAGTCCTCACTGTTTTCTAGTTTATATTAAAAATTTATAAATTTAAATTCTGTATTTTCTCTAATAACTAAATAATATGATTAAAATCTTTTTTACTTTAGCTTATAAATCTTGATATTTGTAGATAATAATCACTAATTCTTAATTTAAATAATAATATTCTATCAATATTTAGTGAATATTTTATAATTACTACTTTTCACACTTGTAATGATTCTAAAACTCTTTTCTGTAAAAATATTTTTTTTTCTATTTTATTTACTTTATACTTATAGTTTAATAAAACTGATTCAAATTGAATAGTATTCTGAGCAACACTTGATAAAAATCTTTATCCTCATATTGATGGTTTTTGCAAATTAAAATAAATCTATTACAAAATCAATTGAGCTATACCTATTAAACTCTTTGATATTTTATTTAGACAAAGTTTAAACTTATCTTTATATAGATTTACCTTGATGAAAAGATACAAATAAATATATTACAATTTCAATATTTTATTTCTATTAATTAAAATAAATTTAAGATAAGCCTCTAACTCAGCTATAAATTGTAAAGTATTTAGAATTATACTACAATATAATATGTATAATATTAAATTTAATATATAGTATTATTAACGTGTAATTCTTGCGAACTACGACTGTTAGACGGGGTGTTCGAGCGGTTTATTCTTTTTAATTGAGCAGTAATCTTTCAACAGTTTACAAGCTTGAACTCAGATGATTTATCAAAGTATTTATATTATTACAATGAGTTACGATTTGACAGATTGCCAGTAAATTGTATTTATAAATAATGTGTTTATTTACAAGTAAAATAATGATAAAAATAAAGAAAAGAAAAGTAAAAGAAAATAAAGAAGAAAAATAAGAAAGAAAAGAAATGAAATACTAAAGTTAAAAGGAGATGCAGTAGGCCAGTTTCCTCTAAACTACTAAAATTATCTTGCTGAATTCCAATCTGTCTCCCCTTTATATGAACTAAAAAGCTACTTATTTATATAAAATAAAATACATAGAAAAATATAACTAACATGTCTAATATATCAACTATATCTAATATATCAACTATATCAACTATGTCAAATATGTTAAATATGTCAAATATGTCTGACATATCATATATGTCAGTTATATTAATCGGTCGATCTTCTGCACCCCATGAGTTGTGTCACATTCATCCGTTCACAATACTATCATTGAAAATACAAATCTTTATGCATTATTGAAAGGTGCTGATACTATTAGTAAGCAGTGTTGTCATGAAGTATTGTGAGATACTGATAGGACATAGATAGATCAGATAGGATATTTAGGATATAGTGTGAGACAGGTTGGAACATATAACTGGGACATATAGTTGGGACAACAAATCTCTGGAACATAAAAAATGTACATTATTATTAAAAGTTGCTGATGCTATTGGTAGGTGTTAGCTGAACTTAACTTGTAAAAAACTTCTTATTTAGATTGCCTTGGTTATTTATCAAGAACTTTTTAAATTACCTTCTCTTGACCAGTATTGGAATGAAAATGGAAAGCTTCCTATTCACCCTATCTTAAAACAAATATCATTGAAACGTTTCAAACAGATTAAGAAATATCTACATATTTTTTCTCTGTTACATTAATTAAAAATTACTTCGATAAATTAGAACTGCTATTTTTGCATATCTGGAATGTTTCAAAGCAACTTTACATACCAAGTATAAATGTTTTTGTAGATGAAATGGTAATTCATTTTTCTGGAAGAAGTGTTCATACTGTTCAAATCAAAAACAAACCTACATTTGAAGGCTTTAAAATTTTGTCTCTTTATGATTCTAGATATACTTTTACTTTTTTACTAATATCACGTATTATTTTAAGTGATGTAACAAAATAGGTGAACTTAATCAAATTGGATACCAGGTTTATCATTTTGTTAAGCAACTTCTATACTATCAACATTCATACAATATATATATGGATAATTATTTTTTCAAGATTCCTCTTTTTCAACATCTTCGGCAAAATAGAATTAGTGCTTGTAGGACTGTATAAAAGATTGCATCAGGGTTTTCTAAAGAATTAAAATTGGATAAAAACATTAAACTTGATTGGGATGTTCGTTCTGGAGTTGTGATAGATGGTGTATTAGCTGTTTTTTAGCAGGATAATGAACTGGTCACAACGTTATCAACAATTCATGAAATTGTTAGTGAGGAGTAAGAAGTAGAACGGAATAGGTAGTAATCAAGAAAATTAGTATAAATGCAACAAAGGTACGCGTGATGTTTGGTCCAGAATCTAGAAAAAATTAAAAATTCCAAAAATAGTAGATGATTACAACCATAATATGAATGATGTAAATATTACAGATTAATTACGTTCATATTATAACACGCAAAATTGGATGCCCAATTTTTTTGGCTACTTGATATTGCAATTATTAATGCATATCAGATTGTTTAAACTATAGGATCAATGCAAAAACAAAAAGAGTTCTGCAATGAGTTTGTTTAGGATTTAATTAATTTTGCAAATGATACTAGTGAAATTCAACTAAGGAGTAGTTTGGAGAAGGATGCAAAACGTCAGAAAATAACAAAACATTTTGAGCTTTCAGACTGATGATTAATTCCCAGAAACCACTTTGTAGAATGGAGAGAAAAACGTAAAGCGTGTAGGTGGTGTATATGGTTAGCAAATAAAAAAGAAATAGATATGGATCGTAAAACACCAAACAGAAGCCAATTATGGTGTGTAGCATGTAATGTGCCTTTGTGTTATAATAATGCTAGAAATTGCTTTTTAGAATTTCATACTAATAAATAAAATATTTTTGCGAAAGTGATTTATTAAACCATAAACTTTAAAAGTCACGTGATATATTAGACAAAATTATGTCATGTGACTATAATTTCAACCAATTAAAATAAAGTTTTTACTATAAAAATTCTACTCTAAACCTAATTTACTTTTAATCATTTTAGCGTACAAATTTGTCCGCTAAAATGGACGGTTTAAAGAGATAGTAAAAGTTGCTCAATAATTGATCAGAAGCTTTTTCATAGATTATTATGTAAAGTTTTTAAATTATTAATACGGATATCATCTGGTACAAAGAGCTTCTACATAGAATTTATCATAAATTCTACACTTATATTTGTTTGCCAAATCCTCTTTTTGTATTCATTTCTTTGTTATCCTGATTGATAGCAATCAAAAAATGTTATCCGACTCATGAATCTATATTTGATTGCGAGTTTTCATTTAAAGATGTCAATGCTAGTTAATCATACATTCTATTTAAAACTTCTATTTTTCGAAGTAATAAAAATAAAATAAAATAAAACCAATACATAAAACTTTACCTCAACGTTATCAAATCATCCAACTATATAAAACAATTATCGTAGTATAACGATGTTTTGTATCGGTCTTCGGTATTTTAATGAAATTTTGAAATAGTTTGTATCACTTTTTATTATAATACATAAATGTGTGTATATATATTTCTTCGAATAATACAATTGAATGTAAATAGCAAACGTATAAACGAATGTTAAAAAATCAAGGTGTGAACATTCCTCATTTTTTAATTTTTATATAATTTAGTTATAACATCTTACAGTGAATTGTCGTCGAATTTTTGAAATATGAAAAAAATTTAAACATGATTGTATTAATGTAATATATTCTTTCTACCTTTTTATTGGGTTGATTAGAGGGAAATTTATTGAAATTCCATATTAAAGATTTTAGGCTAATATTAAGAATCATAAATATATTATTAGACATAAAAAGAAAAATATAGCATTGAACCAATTTATCGATAAACAATTTATGCTTACACCTAGGGGCTTCTTTAAAGGCTGCAACGGCTTCCTCCCCCATTGCACTGACGACAGTGACCAAGTATTCCTTACCTATCAAAATAGAATTTTAACATCATTAACATAGTAAAACATATAAGCTTAAAATCATTATAGAATGAAACATAATTACCTTCTTCAATCCCTGAAACAATTTGATTATACATTTCACTGCCTTTTTCGATGCGAACGTCATCCTTGGTGCTGCCATCAGAAGTCATTAAGCTCAAATAACCATCTTCAGCACAGTCAATGACAGTAAACTCAGTACCTGATAAAAAGAATTAATAAATTTAATGACGAAAAGTTTTGAATGATCCTTTCTATAATAATTAATCAAATAAAGGAAACCAAAATTAACTCACGAGTAACATGAGGAACATCCATGTTATGAGTAGAGGGAGAAATATCTTTAATTAAGAATGGTAAATTTAGCTTGCATTTATTTGAACATTAAAAAAATATATATATGTATATATATAGTGATCCATCAATATAATTAGTAAAATAAGATTTGATGTTGACATTTTAAGAATCATTTCTCACCTTCAAGCTTCTTATTAGTAAAAATATCGACTCCGACAAGATGAACTTTCTAAATTAATTATTATCATAATTTTTACTCAGATAAAATTTTATATATTTCATAAGCACAATTAAATATTTCAAAAAAAAATTGTTTCACAGACACTCCAGTAAATGTTAGCAGGAAAAACATACCGCGTGCCCATGTTTACCAGTCTTACTCGTAGACATTTCAACGATCTTGCATGGCCTACCTTTAAGAACAACATGACCGTTCTAAACGTTTCAGGTTGTAAACTTATTATAGTATCGTCTTAATAAGAAGGAAAAAAAAAATTTTTTTTCTCACCTTTCTGAGGGCAGAACATTGCATCGGGTAAGTTGCCGATGCTCCAGATCCTGATGCTGATTCAAACTCATGATGATGTTCGTCGTCTCCCATTTTGTTTAAAATATAAACGAAGATAAAAAAGGGCGAGAAAAGGGGATATTACAATTTAGAAAGTAAAATTTCTTATATACACTTTATGCATAAATGTCTCGGAGTTTCAAAATTTAGGACAAAAAGAAAGATAATTGGCTGCGACATTGCATGGGTGTTGATCAACATCTAATCTGAAAATTCATCTTGTCGTACGAAGATATAAAGAAAATAAGCCTCAAATATAATCAACTATAATAGTATGTTTGGAAAATTATACGGTAAAGTTTATAGGATCTACAAACATGTCCGTTGTTTTTAACGATTCTTGCTAATGTGAGAAACTATTCTAATATTTAATTAAAAAATATTTATATCATAATGATCATTAAATCAATAAATTATTTGTAATGATTGCTTGCAAAATCATGATGTAATTTTTATATCGAAAAGTATTTAAAAGCAAAAAATAAAAACCAATTTTCTTTCGAATCATAATAACAACCATAAAAATAAAATCCTTGTAAAATTATCGAAAATGTGCTCTAAAGAAGAAACGCCCAAGAATATTGAAGAAGTTACAAAGATCCCAAAACAAGACCTACAAACTCAACCTGGTGTAACGCATGAAATGACGCCACGTCCTTTGGTTCATCACTTGCCCACTGGTGATCATTTGGAAGAATATCATGGTGCTTTTAAATTGAAAAATAAGATTGCACTAATTACTGGAGGAGATAGTGGCATTGGACGTTCGGTTGCCGCTCTATTTTCTTTAGAGGGCGCTTCAGGTATCGCTATTACTTACCTTTCTCGTGAAGAAAAGGATGCGCGTGAGATAAAAGAGAGAATTGAAAAGCAATCCAAGACCGAAGTCATATTAATATGCAAGGATATTGGAACTGAAGAAAACGCCATTGATGTTGTAAAACAAGTGATTAATAAATGGGGAAGAATTGATATTCTTGTTAACAACGCCTCTGAACAGGTAATTATCCCATATCAATAAAGTGGCGTAGCACTTTACACTCGAATTTTAAAATTGATCTATAATAATAGCATTTGACAGAACGTATTGAAGATTTGTCGAGTGAACAGTTCGAACGAACCTTTAGAACAAATATTTTTGGCATGTTTTACCTTGCAAAACACTCGATTCCACATATGAAAGAAGGCAGTGTAATCATCAATACAACTTCCGTTACCGCGTACAAAGGGCACCCAATGTTGCTTGATTATTCCTCGACCAAGGTAATGAACGATATTATCAAAATATTAATCCATTATGAATAAACATCTATTTTTTAAAAAATCAAATGCGTTTTACACATAGGGAGCTATCGTCGCTTTCACAAGATCCCTTTCTCTACATTTAATCGAACGTGGAATCAGAGTCAACGCCGTAGCACCAGGTCCAATTTGGACGCCACTTATTGCCGCCTCTTTTCCACCCGAAAAAATGGAAAGTTTTGGAAAGCAAGTTCCAATGAAGAGAGCCGGACAACCATCTGAAGGTATTTAGAGGATAAACTTTAAAGAATTTATTTTTGAAATCTTTTAAATAACCCATTTTATGTGCAGTGGCACCATGCTATGTTTTCCTGGCAAGCAATGATTCAAGCTATATGTCCGGTCAAGTTCTTCACCCGAATGGAGGATCCGTTATCAACGGTTAACTTTTCCGTTTCCTCGCGGATGAATCCAAATCTTAATTTTAAAAAAAAGTTATTTTTTTATTTCCGTCACCAAATTTGATAAGAATGTTTGACTTGAATTCTTTTGTGCTTTGTATTCCTGCGATAAAATAAATAAAAAGAAACAAATAATTTCGTTCATTGTACAAATTTAATTAATTAAAAACAAAGATTTCGGGTTAGGCTATTCCGTGATTAAATATTTTTTTTTTACACATTTGCTTTTTAATTCGAATCTTAAATGAGATCTTTTCTATAAAGACGGGAGATGACTTTGTAAGGAAATCTTGAAGTCAAAGAAGGCATTCACAGCCACAAATACAAGTAATATATAATAAGCGAAAAAATTCGTGCTAAACTTTTTAGGATAAAGATATGGCTTGTGGAATACAAACCTGAAATTATGCTGTCATACATTAAAGGGGTTTCTAAATGTTTGGGAATGGTTTGGTAAACAAACCTATTTATTTATTTCTCTTTCAAAAGAACAATTATGTTTATTTTCATTGTATGCCAATTTGAAACGATAACATCCTACTTAATAGAGACAATTCGGTTTGTGGTAATGTTAGTGGTTACCTTTCTTAAATTAATTTGCTTTTCGATGGACTGCTTTTCAAAGTTTCACTTCCTGTAAGTTTAAAATTAAAAAAAATGTTCGTGTCAGTTGATTACTTGATTTTTATGCACCTCTAAATTCCCTAAATTCTGTATCATCACACGATCTAACCATTATGTGAAAATGACACGTGTGAAATGATGTCATTTGTATAAATCATTAAAGTCATTTGATTTCATCTCCCCATTTATTCAATGAATTTTTTCGAGAAATTCGTTCTCTGCGTGATCCTTTCCAAATATATATATCTATATATTAAAAAGATTTCCGAATTAATTCGTTGCAAAGAGATTTACAAATAAATATCAAATTCGGGAATCCCACAAAGTATTTATCATTTATTTCATTTATTACAAGTACTATACACGCGAAAGAAACTACCTCGCAGAGAGTTGTCTGCTGTGCATGTGGGTTGTATCATAAACAAAGCAAGATAAACGGACTATTCCTCTTTTTTATGGAATATGAGAGAGAAAAAATAAGTATGTAATGTAATTCAATTTATAGAATGAATTAGTGACAATCCGTTTATAGAATTTTAAGAGATCGATCCCATGCACAAAATTATTTGGTACTTCCTCGAATATCTTTCAGTTTAATTTTAGCCGATAATTAAACCTGCATATATAAAAATTCATCATAAGTGTACGCCCTGATCAAGTTTATTTATAACTCCCAATTCTCCCGCCTCAATTGCGTAAATCATAAATTTTCGATAATGTATAAATAGAAACCATTTTTTGGCCATTAACTCGGTTTTTTCACACAATTTTTTTTTTTTTTTTTTTTTTCCTCTTTCTTTGATATAGATATATATATACATATATATCTCCTTCGAAGTTTAAGTTCTGCCAAACTCAGTCCTTTCCATTTTTTCACTTCTTTCCCTTTCAAGTGAATAAAGTGACCTTTTACCCCTGTATTATTTTTTTTTTTTTCTTTTTGACTGCTATTTTCGTAGCACTTTTTACTTTAGTAAAAAATTACATAATAGATTCTTTTGTATATAATTTTTTTTTTTCTTTTTTTGAAAAGTATTTTCTTGTATTTTCATCAAAATCAAAATACACCCATAACTACATTTTCTCCCGTTTGCTGGACAATCGCAACTTCCCTTAATTCCTCAAATAAAAGCAGAAGCATACCCAATTTTTATTTTAAATTTTCAAACAAAAAAAATTTAATAATCAACATGCAATTTATAAATGAAGAGAAAAAGTCCGGATGGTTGACAAAACTCGGGGGGAATGCTCTAAGGAAAACTTGGAAACGTCGCTGGTTTGAATTAAGAGGAAGTTACTTGTATTATTATCGACAACAGGTTTGTATTATGTATGATTTTGTTATTACGTTTTGTGTGGGGTTATATCTAAACTTTTTTTTTTATATCTCTTTAGACCGATAAGGAACCTTCAGGAATGATAAACCTTTCATCATTTAACTCAATATGTCAAGATTCATCTGCTACAAAAAAGTCACAATATTGCATACGTATCGAAAAGGTTTTCCGTGAATGTGATTCAATTCATTCGAATTTAAGTTACCGTGAAACATCTTCGAAGAAAGCTACTTTATTTCTTGCATTCGCTGATAATGAAGACGAAATGCAAGATTGGATCACGGTTCTTGAAAAACGTTTAGGTGGACGAAATATTGTTGATATTGTTTTAGATAGATTAGAACTTAACGGTATGCATAGAAGACAATGCAGCTATGGTTCGCTGAGTTCCTTCTATTCTAAAAATAGCAACTTCTCTTCAGGTGCGTCGACATCAGGATCGGCTTTATCATCTGGTCGTCCATCTTTGGATTCTTTTAGTTTAGACACTCCTTCTTTGGATTCCAGAAAGAGTTCAATTGATTCATTTCATAGTGGGCAAATCAATGCTGTTAATATTGCAACTTCTACTCCACCTTCTCGTCCAGAAACTCCTTCAAGTTTAGTTGAAAGACTTGGAATTGGACAACCGATTCTTCGTAAACCTGCCTCTCATTCATGTTTGCAGGAAAGACGTTATCATAGTGGCACCGATAATGGTCATCAAAACAGTAATCATGTTCGTAAACTTTCCCTTACCTTCAAAGAGTTTCCAAATCGGGCTCCACTTATTATGGTACATGGAGAAAATTCGAAATTTGCATCCTCACCTGATGTCGTTTACTTTCCTGGCAACACCAATGGATTAAGAAATTGCAACAAAAAAAAGACAGGAGATGAATTAGATGGAGATCAAACCCCATCTTCACCTGTAACTCCAACTGCAAATGTGTTCCCGAGTCATTTGACGGATCAAAAATGAAACTCTTTAATCATGACATTTTTAAATAATCTAGTTTGATGGACATTTGGTTTTTCTTTTTTTTTTTAAAAAAAAATAATCTTTGGATTTCTGGGGGAGAGAAAGTTGAGCATAATATAAAACCTTCTCACCTCCTTTCATTTGCAAAATTTTTGTATATACACAATCACAATATATATATATATATATATATATTTTACCTTTTTTTTTTTTTTTTTTTTTTTTTGGCGAATTTAACTTTACAATTTAAGTTTTTTATTCCATAATTTTCCTCCGTTTTCCTTTTTTTTTTTTTTTTTTTTTTATATAGACTGTTTTTTTACCTTTCCCTTTCCAAAATATTGTATATTTTTCTTTTTATCGGACATAATAATCTGTTCGATAATTAGTGTCTGTATGTAATATGTGCGAGCATAACTTATTCTATTCACACGTTTGAATACGAAAAAAAAATAGAGTTGATTTGATAAATCTTTTTCACTATATAAAAATATATATCACATATATATTTTCTTTTATAGATTTTTTAAGAGCATATAAAATTGCATTTTTTTTTTTTTTTTTTTTTTTTATAAAAAATTAATATAAAAAAATGTTTATTGGAAAATAATATAATAAATAAATTATTGTTTAAGGTTATAGAAAGACTAAAACGAAATATTTATTTTTTATAATAATAATAATGATTATTAAATGCATATAAAGAATGCGCCATATTGAATTTTGTGCACATTACAGATAGGATGGTCCCACGGACATTAAGAATATAAAAGCTATGTCTCAAATATTGTTCTTCGTTTAACATTAATTACTGCAATAAATACTATTGTTATCACACCATACACAAAATTAATAGAACTTCCAGTCGCGCAATTTAAAAACCAAATTTGGATAATAAACGTGTCATCGAAGAAACGCGTTTTTTTTGTAAATCATTAATAATTTAATATTAAATATGGGAAATTTTCGAAATTATGAACCTAAATTACTTAATATTGTTCTATGCATTAATTTGGGACTGGAATTTATCTCGTTATGACTTCATCGTAGGAAGGTGGTAGTTCATCTGGAGCTACTGGTGGTGGTCTGACTTCAGTAGTAGTAGAATTATTACGAGAAGTTGTGGCACCAGCAGCTTGCTCAGTGTTAATGAGAGGAACCTCTGGTGATAAAACATCGGAAGATATTGCACCTGATGACGAGTGTGAGGCTGATGAATTTACTTGACGTGGTGTATAAGTTGGCAATGGTTCAGTATGCTCCACTAAAGACCCTTCATTCTCTATATTATTATAGAAAGTTTATGAATATGCATGCTTCCTTTCAATTTATAAATAAATATCTTCGCACTTAAATGTAATTCATACCAAACAATCTTAACATCAAACTGTTATAATGTGAGCTGAATTCAAATCCACCTATTTTAAATATTAAACAAGCACATATAAACATTAGTTATTTAACAAAAGGATCGACTAGTAATCATTAATAGAACACATACCTCCTTCTTTGAAGGTAACTTTTAATTGTCCGGGAGCTGGGAGTCCACCATTAGGAACCTTACATAATCCAATACAAAGCCTTAATATTTAAACAAATATCAAAAATAAAATTTAAAGAATAAATCATAAATATTTTTTGCAAACGCGAAATACGTACTGGAGTCACAATAGCTTGATAATAATTTGCCCCGAACCAAGGTTGTTGAAGCTTGCCTTCTTTCATATTCAGAAGGGGTACGCTCAGAGATTTAAAGTGTTGTAAAGTTGGTCGCGAAATAAATATTACCTAGAAAATAATTATACCAAAACTCTGAGATTAACTCAAATTTTTTATACTCGGGCTTATTTGGGTGAGATGGGTGAGATACATACGCGTTGGTTTGTTAAAAATATGCCACCGTCGGCTTTATAAGTTCCTGCATTACCAGGATAACCACTAGCAATGTTAAATACAATTTATATGATTAATCTCATAAAATTGTTATCATCATCATTATTATTATAAAGAAGAAAACATACCCGCCCATATCAAAAACAAGAGAAACTTTATCCTGCCTATATAATTAAACAAGGAGTTGCAAAGATCTACAGTCGTGAAATTAAAAAAAAAAAATGCAAATTGTCAACTATCTATAACTTACTCTAAAATAATCTTCTCCCCAGGTAGAGGCACCGGACTTTTACCATCGGAAGCGATCATAGCCCAATTCAATGCCATATTGAATTTATTTTTAATTTTAAAAAAAAGAAAATGTACAAGTTTTTATTAAGTTGATTGATTTTTCATGGAGTTTTATTTGGCTGCTGACAAACATTGTACAACATCATGGATGACCTCATATCACCCTTTTTTTTTTTTAAAAAAAAAAAAAAAAAATTATCGGAGTGAATCAATCTTTGCCATGCAACTATTAAAATAATATCAAGTAAGTTTTTTTTTCTTTTCTTGAAGACATCTTGCTTAATTAAGGTGTATTTATTTATTATTTGATAATATATATTATCAAATTTTACATGATGATACGAACCCATATAGTTTCGGGTGATTTTAAAAAATGATCCAAGAGACAAATAACATACATGCACTACCATCTGAATGACTTGAATAAAGATAATTTGATTTTGTATGTAATTATTTTAATAATACTTTAATAGTTTGTTATTCATTTAAATGTTAGGTCTCGTAAGGTTTCAGAACAAAATATGTGGTCAATTCTTTAGAGATTCGAAATTTCTGATGATGTTCATAAATGTACTTTGTGGAATGCTACAGCGAGTTGAGTGAAACGTTGGAAAGTCAGAGTCTGCATTTGTCATGAAGTAGTCAAAGACGTTAAAAATATCAACGTCATCTAAATTGTTTGGCGCCAGTTTAATTGATTTTTTTAAAAAGGTATCTTATCTGAAATTACTTTTCGTGCATTTTTAATTCTGTAATGATGATAACCCATTATTCAGTTCTGCTTCTGATATATATTGTGAAGATAACAACTTACCAAATTCTTATGTCTGACGTTAAGAATAATCTTGTTCATTATATCATATATTATCGAAAATATTAATGATTAATTTATCTTTTTCGTTTTGAAAGTTATGTAGCAAATGACCAACCATACGGAGATTGCTTTTATATAGGTATATATATTTTAAGAAAATGTAGACTATAGAATCGAAACGAAATGATGTTTTTTAATCAATCCGTGTTTCAAATGAATTCGTTTTGTGATTATATTGATTCCTGATCGCAATTAGTGCCTTCATTTCTCATTTTAATTATTACGATTTATACGATTTACTAATTTATCATAATTTATCGCCAATAGAAAACGTAAAAGAACAAATTTTTTTTTTACAAAGTAAGTAAGATCTGATTTTCTTCTGAAATTGTGATTGCGATCGTGATGACACTACAGATTCATCCATTCGATGATCGGGAATCACATTGCGAGCAATCACCGAGCGAGTTTATTCCGTCAAAGGTTCTCTTTGACTGATTAAATGAAGCTCATCGGTTGATCGCGGTGGGAGATCTGTTCAGTTCTTTCTGATTTTTATAGGTCGGTTCGATACTTTTCAGGTCTTTTTTATATTCCCGACTAGATATGAAAATAGCTTCTGATAACAAAATGAAATATAGTTTTTTTTTTTTTCACTTAAAGAAGGAATTAATCCATGTTTTTTTTTTTTATTAAATGAATGTTTTTTAGATCTGACGAAATCGGAATGTTGAATATTAATAACAATAATTGGAAATGTCGCACAAAATTTTTTTTTCATAAAATAATATCGATATGTATTATGACCAATTATCCCAAAATGGCAACAATTCTGTAAATAAATAATAATATAATGTTGATCTATAAGAAATAAAATATCATATGTATCATATGCTTAATGAGCCAGAAAATTTTTTTGGCGCTTTTTTTTTTTTTTTTTTTTTTTCAAATCGTCATTTTTTGGTATTACTGACATATTACAAGAAGTACATCGTCTACGTGTCTGAACTCCAAAGGAGGCTTAAATGTAATCTTGCATCTTTTTGTGTTCTTTACTCTGCAAATCAGTAACCAACGAGGTAAGGTCAGTTGTCAACTATCACCTGGCTCTCTCCACACATCTTTGCCATTTCTGGAAATTCACACTCAATCATATTGTTAACGAAAAACCTTTTTTTTTAGAGGGCGCTTGAAAAAGTTTTCTTTTTAAACTTTAATAATTCCTTCGAGTCCTTAAATAAATGATTCAAACTTACTCTCACTTCCTTTACATTTAGTTGTTTTTTTTTTTTTTTACCTTTTAACATAAATAAATTTATAAAGGTTTATTCGATTGTTTTTTTTTTTTTTACTTTTGAAAATCAGGAAATTTGGAACAATCTTTTTGCTCAAATAACACTATACAAATCTAGAAATGGGTGTAGTATTCTCACGCTTTCGGTCCCAAAGCGAGGATAATTTCGAGAAAATTCTTTCGGAGATTGACGATAAGATTAGTAGAGCCGAGGTTCGATTACGCGAAATAAGAATTCGTGAACGTAGTGCATTGATAATTTGGATCGTTTATTCTATGTTGGCCTACGTTGCATATGTGGCAGGTTATTGGTATTTTGTTTATATGTCAATTGAAGAAGAAGGTTGGGATTTTATGAAGATTGCGCCAGTTTTTACTGGTCCCTTTCTCATAGTAATTGGGTATAGGTTTTTAGCTTTGTGGTATAAACGAAAAGAAACCAATGAAATATCTCAACTCGAACACCTTAGAGCAAAACAAAAACAAAAGGTAGAAGAGTTGAAAAATAAACACAATTATTATTCAACCAAAGATTTAGTGGAACGTTATGATGTTCCCAAGGGAAATAAGGGACCACCACCACAAGCAAATCAACAAAATCAACCGATTCCAAATGGACCTCCACGTCCTAGGCAGCCTATAAATCTTAATAATCCTAATCTTCGTCAACGAAATGTTCCAAATCCTCAAGCGTCAGGGGTTAACGGTATTAATGGAGATCAAAGAAATAACAATGCACCAAACGTAGGGAACGTAGGGGCTCATGGTATTATAGCACCACCACCACCACAAACAAAATTTGATCCGAATAGTCCAAATTCAATTTCACCTCTTCAAAAACGGTGGTTTGATAAATTGGTGGATGTTATTGTTGGTGATGATGAACAAAAATATGCATTGATTTGTCAAAATTGTTTTACTTGGAACGGTTTAGCATATCCCGCAGATTTTGAAGATGCTCAATATTTTTGTAAAAAATGCAATCATTTTAATTCATCTCGACGAAGTCGACTTAGCGGAACATCTTTAAGCGCGTCACCTAGTTTCACAAACGGTAATAATAGTAACGATAGTAATGAAAATCATCTTAACATCACTAATAGTCACTTCAATAAGTCAACTGATCCATCTCAACTAGGTGATAATTTAACTCCACGAAGAGGACGTTCAACCACACCAAAACCCATGAGTCGAACTAATTCTTCGGACCCTGAAAAATTAATTTATAATGATGATTATGATGATGATGGTGTATCTGTTAGTAAGACTTTGGCTTCTCGATCCAACAGTAGAAAGGGAAGGAACAGTCGAAGTCAAAACAGGATTGGAGAAAATCGTCATGGAAGTAATGAAGATGTTAAAGCATACACCATCAGTGATGATGAAAACATTTCTCGTGAAGAATAAACTTTTGTTCTAAAAAATGAGATTTACAAATGGATAATATCAAAAAAAAAAAAAAAAAAAAAAAAAAAAAAAAAGGAATTCGGATTATATTACAATTCTAGCATTTAGTATTTAGCACAAACAATATGTTTTTTTTTCTTTTCTTTTTTTTTTACCGATTTTAAATGCATTCTTCCAATCCCGAACTTTACTGCCCTTAAAAGGATAATTTTTTTTCATTGCTGATTTGTCTATATTTTTTACCATTTATCAAATATTATATTTTATATATGGTTACCTGATATCAGACAAAAGATAATATGATTAATAGTGACCGTTTCATATTTAGTTAGAGTTGAATAAACCTATATATTAGGCAAGTGATTTCATAATATAATTGAAGGTTTGTAAATAAAAATATATATATATATATATATATATATATCATATATCCATAAATTTTCTATTTTAAATGATGTGGTTATATTAATTTGGGTCGAAAGATTTTTAGTTTACAATTTGAAAATAAAATACCAAGAAATTACATCGATTTATTAAAATCAATCAATAAATCATTTCCATCGATTCAATAATAAAAATGATAAAGCATACAACTGTAATCAAATCATAAGTTTTATTATTTAAAAGTAAAAAGATAATTCAATCCGAACCGAAAATTTCGGATTGATCCTAATTTCGTTTGTTCGGATTCTTAATAAAGCAGAATGATAAAACAAAAATCGCAAAGTCAACTCCGGTATTTTTTTTCATTTATATAAAAATAATTCTTATTTTATACAGGATGTATGTATACTATATTAAACATCATTCTTATTATAAAAAATTTTCTTTAATTTAAAACGAATACGAGTAACCCACCCTTAAACCCAATTTTAAGATAATATTCTCATATAATAATTAAAAGTTAAATTATAGTTATCTAAAAATACATTAAATATATAAGAAAAATTGGATTTTCAAATTAATTATTTTAAGTATAAAAATATAAATGACAAATATTACAATTTTATTGATAAAAGAACTATATATTTTATTAAATATTAAACTTTATTATTTAATTTTATTATATTATTTTTTTTTAATAATATTGATATAATATATAATTATATATTTATTATATATATTAAATTTTTTAATAAATATAAAATTATTATTGATATATTATGAAATTAATATTCTTTTTTAATATTGATATATTAAAATTTATATTACTGATTATAAAAAAATTTATTAATTATTACATAAAATTAATAAAATTTTAATTAAAATATATATTATTTTTCTTAATAATTAGTAATTATATTAAATTTTATATAAAATATCTGTTATATATAAAAATTTTATCTGATTTATATTAAAAAATTTAATTTAAATAAAAAATTATTAATTTATAACATTATATTTTACAGAAATTCTTTAATTATTTGTTTTATTATTATTAATATATTTTTTTTATTTATAATTAATTAATTTAATATATATAAACATTTGATTTTATTTTTAAAATTAAATAGTACTGTATAGTCCCGAAAATAAGCACCGCGTGATATATATGAATTTATTAGTATATACGTGACAAATAATATAATAAATTCTATGTGACAAATAAATTAATTACTATAAAAGGAGCGTGTCACGGGTGCTTATTTTCGGAAATATACGGTACTATTTAATTAAAATAACATTAAAATATATTCTAAAATTATTAAAATTATATATATATATATATATTTTATATTAACTTTATAAATAATATAATAAATTTTAAATAAGTTAATAATTATTTAAAAATTATTAAATTAAAATTAATATTATAAGTATAAATTTATTATTAATCATAATAATTTTATGTTTATATATAGTTTATTTATTATAATAATAATTTATATTATATATAATATATATATAACAAGTATATATATACAAATTATATATATAGACTTTATATAATTTTATATTTTAATAAAATTATAAGTAGAAATTAAAAGTAAATTAAATTATTATTATTATTTTTAGATTAATTTAATAATTTAAATACTTTATAATAAAAAGAAAAACAACTATAAAAAATTTTTTTTACTTTATAAGCTAAATATTATTTTTTTAGTAAAATAAATCTAGATTTAATATTATTTCAAAAAATTTTTTTTGATAGTTTTCTTTCTTTCTATTACAAAGTATTCATTTATTTTATAATAATTTCAAATTAAAAAATAATAAGAATTAAAAAATAATGATAAAATAATAATTTTGATCTAATAATTAATTTTAATTAAAAACTATTATAGAATTGTTTTATCAAATACTTTTTGAATATAAACACAATTTTATTAGATTATAACTCATAAAATATTGATAAAAAAAAATAATTTTATAGATTATTATTAAAGAAATATAATTTTTTAAACTGCAGCCTAATAATCAAATAGCTAAAAGTATAAAAACTATAAAAATGATGATAATATAATTTATTTATTAATAAAATTAGTAATATTTATAAGTTTTTTTTAAAAAATTTACTTATCTTTTATATAATAAAATGAGAATTTAATGTGATTTTTTATAAATTATTCTAAATTATTTTAAAAATTTTATATTAAAAAATAATTAGTAATTTATAATTTGATAAATTATATTAATCTGATTAACTTATTTAATAAAAAATTATTATTCTTTATTTATTATAATTTTATTTTATTAACCTTTTAATTTAAATTCTAATCTAATATTATTGCTTTTTTCTATATTGATAAACTAATAATTTTATTACAATAAAAAATTTTGAAAAATATTTAAATTCTAAAATTTTGCTATATATAGTAAAGATCATTTTCAGTTAATAAAGTTTTTTTTAGATAATAATATATTTATTAATACAATAATTTTAAGAAAAAAAAATTGTAAATTAAATAAATATAATAATAATAATAGTATTTAAATAAATATGTATTTATATAATTATAAATTTTGTATTTTATAATTTATCATTAATATTTGTTATGGAATAGTATCATAAGTAATAAAATTTTTCTTAATATATATATAATGTCAATAGATTAAAGCAAAATACTAATTTAAAACATAGAATCAGAATTATTAATCATATTTATAAATAAAATATTAATAAATATTTTAAATGATAATCATAATATTAAATTTATTTATCAAATTTATTTAATTAAAAGATTTGACGTTTTTTAAAAATAAATAAATAAATATTATAATTAAAAAAAAATATATACAGTATATATATTTATAGTATTAAATTTTATAATCTACATGGGAAGATTGCTAGGAAAATCAAATTCTGAATTAGATAGATTAAAAATGCAAATAACCTCGGAACCATCAATCTTCCCATTTATGTAATAATATTGTATAATGTTTGTTTTGGGTAATAGAGATTGAACTGATTAACGAAACTAATCTGGGGGTTATTCTTACAATGTAAAATTGAAAATCCAAGAAGAAATCAACCCCCAGATTTTCGGACGTACTAACCCAATTGTCTTAATTGTCTCTTAATAGTCTTAATAGTAGGGAGTAAATTAAGACCGGATTGTCTGACCGAATCCTCGTCGATCATATGGGGAAGAAACAAAAAAAAAGGCTAGTTTGATGTGCATATATATTTTTTGGTATGCATGAAAATCACAATATTTACTTGCTTTATTTATTGGGGGAAAAAAATTATATGAAAAAAGAAATGGTAAAAAAAATGAAAATGAGGAAAAAAAAAAAATTTATCAAATTCGAAATCTTTTCAGCTCATATTATTTTCTCTGAGATTAACCGGAATTTGCCGTCTTTTCTGGAGACTCGACTACATTAATTTCAGCAGGAGAAGTAGATAAACTTGCTTCTTTCCTTACTTCAGACACTCCATGTTCCAAGTCACCTATTGAAGACGGAGGAATTTGTCGATTTGTTGAACGTGGGTGTGTTTTACCAAATAGACCGTCCATCTCCTCTAATGATTTTCCTTTTGTTTCTGGATAAAAGATTAACACACTTATTGCCATGATTATACCGAAAACTCCAAAGATTATATATGTTCTTATAAAGAAAAAATGGGAAACGTCATAAGGATTAATATATTAGAGATAAAAAAGGAGCGATTATAAAAACAGTAGAAATAAATTCTTACCCCCATGTAATCCTATTTTTGTATAGGAAATAAAACATTTTAAATTAATGCAAAAAAAAAAATAAAAATATATATATATATATAAAAGTAATGAATATTTACTTATCCATCATTGTCGGAACAATTTGTCCAATAAGAAAATTAAACAACCAGTTAGAAGCTGTTGTAACAGACATTGCTTTACTTCGAATACTGATAAATTTTACAACTTTGTTAATACAAGTTAAAAATAACGCGCGTAAAATTATATGCTATATATCGTTATCTTTTACCGTAAAGGATAAATTTCAGCAGGGTAAATCCATCCGGTCTACGAATGATAACAATAATATTAATGTAGTCAAAAGTCATCTTAAATTCGCAATATGAAATGAGTATATTTTAATTATTTAATATATTTACCGGACCCCAAGAATAGGCAAAACTAGCCACGAAAGTGTATATGAAAACAATAACAGCGTAAGAACAAGATATATTTCTTACATGTACCGAATTTTTGTTTATGTCAGGATCGTAATATTTATATCCGTCTATTGCTAATATAAGTCCTATAATTAACATTGATATTCCCATAAATATGCCCCCAGAAATTCTGAGAAAATATATTAGATCATGTTAATGAAAAAGGAGGACTAAAAAAAAAAAAATTATTCCTTCATTTTTAAAACAATTTTTAACTTACAGAGTTGGTCGACGTCCCCAACGATCAATCCAAAGTATTGCAGGAATTGTGGCTAACATATTTACAAGACCTATAAATAAATAAATAATTTAATTTTACTTGAGGAACACGTTTCACGTCATTAACATATAATATTAAAAATGTAATATGTCACATCCTTACCATTAATTCCTGTAGCGAGAAGACTGGATGAATTTTTTTCAAGTCCAGCGCTAAGAAAAATTTGAGGCGCGTAGTACTACAAATTATATTTACAAAGTAAATACGCGTGCGTCCATACAAATTATTGGTAATTCTTTTAGTATTGAAATTTTACCATGATAGCATTAATTCCAGTCAATTGTTGAAAAATCTGAATAAAAATTCCCAATATCATTCTTCTACGAATATTCTCAGGACCTTTTTTCACCAATTCAAAATAATTTTTTGCCGCAAACTCTCGTTCGAATAAAACATTATCTTTGATTTCCAAGTATTCTTCTTGTACAACTGCCGCATTTTTATCTCCTCCAGCTCGTAATTTTGCTAATACTACTATTGCTTCTTCCTCGCGATCGTGATCCATTAACCAACGTGGTGAAAATGGAAGGAAAAGCGTCCCGACAGCTATTAAATGAGAAAATATTAATAAGAAAAAAAAATACTTTCAAGAAATATGTACCTAAAGATAATCTTACGAAGTGAAAAAAAAAATAATAATGCAAAATCATAATCTACGTACCAAGAATTATTGCCGGAACAACCTGAATCCATAGTGGAATCCTCCATTGTGCAGGTGAATCGATTCGTGCTGTAAAATAATCGATCCAAAATGAAATTGCAATCCTTAAAAGATAAAATAGAATAGAATAAAAATCGAGAATTCATTCAATTGCAATAAAAAAATATATATATGTTTACATATATACATATTATAGTATATATATGCTACTTAATTTACCCTATAGTAATCGACCACTGTTGAAGAGATACCAAACGGCCGCGAATCTCTTTTGGACTAATTTCAGATTGATACTTTTTTGTATTTTTATGAAGATATTATTGTTATTTATATGCGCGCACGGTCAGAATGATACGCAGCCGAACAATCATTTTTAATTCAAATTACTTACCAGAGGTACGATCATAGAAAGATCACTAAAAAAAAAAACGTGTCAAAAAAATATAATTTATATAAAATATAATTTACATGCGTAAATTTCCAATATTAAGATAATCCATGTATCACTTACCCAATTGAAAGACCAGCAATGATCCTTCCAAAGTACAATTGGACAAAAGTTGTAGCAGTTGCTTGTAAAACACTACCGACTATAAACAAAAGAGATCCGCCGAGAATCGAGAACCTTCTACCGATTTTATCAGCAAAATATCCTGATATGAGTGCGCCTGTTAAATGAAAAAATCGGAGGTTCATAAAAATTCGTTGGTTTACTGCGCCTCACGCGTTATAATTTACTATACCAAAAAAACATCCTGCTAAAAGTGATGATACGATTGTTCCTTCTTTTACAGGGCCAGTAGGGAATTCATCGCGAAAATGTTTCATCGTGAGAATTCCAGATATGACTCCTAATTAACGTGAAATTAAAATAAAATTATGATCGTCGAATTCATATTTTCATGACAATATAATTTGACAAAAAAAGAATAAAAAATAAAAAAAGGGAATTCACATACCGATATCATATCCAAAAAGTAACCCCCCTACATCAAAATTGAAAAAAAAAAAATTGATATTTTTAACTTTTTAATGAGGGGAAAAAAAAAAAAAGAAAAAAAAGAAATTATCAATCCATTACCAATAGCAGACAGTGCTGCACATAAATATACATAAACTTTACTTCCGCTCATTTTTCTATTATAAAAAATCTTTAGTACAATTAATTTTTAATTTCACATATTTAGGTTAAATTTTTATGGGGAAATTGATAAAATTTATTTTAAAAATAAAATTTAAAGTTGAAAGAGGCATGGTCGTATTTAATTTATTTATATCTTATGGTAAATATCAAGTATAAACACGTTTTATCAATAAAAACAAATAAAAATGAAAAGATATAGGGATATAATATTGAGAAATAAAATAAGACGAATTAAAAAAGACAAAAACTTACGTTAAAAACTCATCAAAAGAAAATAAAGGCAAAAAAAAAAAAATCGCGAAGGATTTTATCAGAATTTTTTTTTTTTCAAGAAAAAAAAAATTAAGGAGAAAAGAAATAAACGGAGTTACACATATATATACTTATTTCCTTGATTTGCCTTCCTGGGATCAAACGATTGATTCCCGAGACTTTTAGCTTCATTGGTATCTAATTTTCCGCGTTTACCATCTTCCGTTAAAAAATGCATCGACTAGTTTTTTAAATTTTGTTAAACATTGTCAATCAATTATAAACAATACGAATTTCTTACTATCAAATTCAAATTGGAAATGTTGAACACGCGAAAAATAATTGCCGAATTAGACATAGTCTTTACTTATCCAAACCATGGTATATATTAAAAGCGTTAGAATTTGTGAAGTATTTAAAACCATGTACCAAATTTACTAAAATTATATTTTTTTCGAATAAAAAATTTTTGTACATATGATAATCACAATTAAATTTGGTTAATTTCATCTTTATTAAACATAAAACATAAACATTGTAACATTTTCTTTTTTTTACAATCACAAATTAATATACTATCATCTTTATTAAACATAAATCATAAACATTCTTTTTTTTTTTACAAGAAAACAGATTTTGTCCCGCAGCAAATCAAACACGTGAAATTCGATTATGTAATATCACGTGCTTTAATTACAAGTTAATTAGTTTTTTGGGTTTGCGCGTTGCATTCTCAATATAGATTTTTTTTTCCTTTATAAAGGTTTTCGATGGAACTTTTATTGAACAAAGGTGAACACAAAGAACTTCCTCTATTTCAACCTTCAGCATGAATCCTGGTGTGAATTGAAACTTTGTGTTTTGTAAATTTTCTAAACCTTAAGAGATAATTGTTTTAACACGTCAAAAACCATTAGTTCCAATTACAGAATTTACGTACGAGTCCACATATTGGCCTCAAATTTCAGACTTTGTTCGTCATGCGTTACGAGTCGATCTTCAGGCCGAACGACCGTTGCATACATACTCACATGAAGAACTTTACAGGTTCCTAAAAAAATAAACATTTTTTTTTTTTATGTGATCTTTATCTCAATTATTTTATTAATAGGAGTATATATTGGATGTGTTGGCAAGGATTCCATAAAAGACTTTTTTCAGATTTGATCTCGACTATTGAAGAAACTCTTCATTTACTTGGTAATCAATTAAATAATATACAAGAGTTGGATATTTGGTTTCCTAGTTTTGCAAAAATATCCATTAATCACGCCAAAGCCACAGAGATCCTAGGCAGTGTATTTGCTTATTTGGTACGTTATAATATATTAAGTGTATATATGTGTGTGTATCTCTTGAAAGTGGTATTGTTTCTTATACATATCTTTCCTCATTAGGATAAAACCTATATTCAATGCACGCTTCATCAAAATCTGCGAGATGTGTTAATTTCTTACTTTCAAGAAATAATTACGGAGAAATCGGAGATGCGCATCATTTATGTTTTTAGTATGATTTTGGAGAACCCTACCATTGATTTAAATCTCGTCGTAGAGGCTGTCAAAGCGTTATACAAGATCAAACCTGGTAATTAATTGAAGGGAGTTAAAAATATTTAATGAATAATTTGTTTAATGATTTACTGAAATTTTTAGATAATATATATTTGAATCCAACTTTGTTTCACAATTTTATTGAGGATATGAAATTACCATCCAACTTGCAGGATCTACAAATACGTTATACAACATTGGAAACTAAATATCAATTAGAAAAATTAAAAATGGAAGGTTGGGAGCCGGGATTTTCCAAATTGAAGAGATCATTATCAAACGACGATGTCGAGGAAACTTCAGGAAAACGCGTTCAACACTAGGAGCTAACGAGTACTTTTCGTATAACAGAAAGATAAGATTACATTTCATAAGTACGTTATCCATTAATATTTAAATCAATATATTACAATCAATATAGCAAATTCATTGTAAAATAATAATGATGATAATATAATTTTGTGTGAAAAAAAAAAAGTATTTTGGTCATTTGCTCTTTAATATTATTATTTCGAATAATGTTTTTGTTTTGGTTTTTTTTTTTTTTTTTTTTTTTTTTGTTGGTTTTTTTTTGTTTTTTTTTGTTTTTTGCGAATGTGAGAAAAAAAGAAAAAAAAAAAAAAAAAAGATTATAACATAAGTAACAAAGTTGACCAATTAAAGAACAAAATCTAAGGCCAAAGGTATATATATATATTTTTCCTTCTCCATAAAAAGACTAATATTAACATCCGCTAATTATAATAACAAGAAACAAGAAAAATTATCTAATATATATATATGTAAATATGTAAAGGATGTTTCAGAGATGATTGATGTTGTATTGAATAATATGAACACCAACATGCGCGCACCAGATGTTATAGATTTATATGTATATTATGAATTAATATAAACGGTACGACACCTCTGATATATAGTTTATAAAGCACAGCACATTGATATACAAGTAAATACGTGTTGTATGAAATGCTGTAGTGGTGATATTAGGAAGGAGGTATTTAATTTTATTCTAGAACTCGGAAAAGAATTTCACACACGATTAACCACAATGGAACCATGCGAAACAACTCGAACCAAGAGAAAAGATAATAAAGCAGCGCACAATACATATATCCTGTATATATTGTCCTAAGTTGAATTAGAGAAGAGAAGGATAAGATCATTAATCAATTCAAATTTTAAAGAACAAATAATTTCATTTTTTAAAAGAAAAATTCATAAAAACTCACTTTGAATGCAGAAGGAGCAGCAGCAATTTGTAAATTATTTGGTACGGGTTGTTGTATATCTACTGGTTGGTTCTCATATTCTTCGAGGAATTTTATTAATGTTCTCTCAATTGACCTTAGATCCCTCACCTCTTTTTCCTTTCGAAGGATCTCTTCATCCTGTTCATAAAGAATACGTTGTACTTTTTTTTTTAAAAAAAAAATGATCGAGATTTAAAGAATGATTTTAGTAAATGATATAAAAATGATGATATTAATAACTAAAACATTGAATATGAAATAAATTTCGATTAAATACATTCTCTGGATTTGGCTTGAATTATTTGACATTTCAATTCGTACATGATGGCTTCTTTTTTCAAAGCTCTTATTTCATCTCTTTCCTGAAGAGATCCCTATGAAAAGTGTGACAACAAGAATATTAGCCCCAAAACACATAGCCGTAATACATTAAAATAGTTTTAACAAAAAGATTCGTGTAATAAGGAAACTTACTTTATGTTTTCGTTCCTTTGTGGTAGCACGCTGGGTCAAGTTTAACCTGGTTCTACGTTTAGTTCGCTTACGTATTTGATTCGAAATCATTGGGTTATTATTATTAAAGATGGACTTTTTCTTTGGCTCAAAGTTTATATTACTGAAAGGGACGTCACTTCGTATGTAAGAATAAGAAACACCTCTAAAACCGCTGATGCCACCTTCTAAACCACCGCAGCCACCACCATAACTATATTGCCCTCCTTTAGTAGAAGTCAGACGAGCAGTCGAATGACCATAAACAAGGGGATTCATTCCGTCTTGACGAGGAGCCATTATAGTAAAGAAAGTATATATACTATTTTAGACGGATAAAAACAAAAAAAAAAAATAAATTTGAAGAGGAAAAAAAAAAAAATTTTATGTATTAAAAAAATTTTTTTTTTTCTTGAAAATTAAAAGAATGCTTGAATCATATAAAGATGAAAAATATAAATTTTTTTAATCTATATGAAAGTCGTTCACAAGTCGGTAGATGGGATATTTATTTTTAAATGGCGGGAAATTATTTATAATAATGATAATATGGGTGGTTTTTATAATAAAGAAGTTCAAATTTTTATTTTTTTTTTTTTTTCGTGGGACTTTTGAGTTCCACGAAAAAAAAAAGAAGGGCAAGTATTTATTAAGGAAACGCGTTGGTTAGGACAGGTTATATGAGTAAATTTATAAAAAAAAAAAAAAATCGTAAAAAAAATCATCATGTGATCCCCATTGTTTTTTATAAGATATATGTGATAGTTCCGCCAGATTACCTAATCGGTAATGTACATTTGTGGCTATCTCTTTAAAGAGTTAGAACCACTTTTCATTTATCGAATGAGTAAAAACATTCTGAACTACTATTAGTAGATAATACTTTGACCATACAAATCAACCCCCTCCCCAATATCACTCTTATCCTACTGCTTTTCTTTTCCATCTTTAAACAATAAAAAATGGTTTCTATTTGTCATTTGTATTATTCCCTGCGACATTCCCCCCCCCCCCCTTTAACTTGTTAGAGGTTTATTTATTTCAAAATTGTACTAAATCAAGTTTGGATTAAATGTCTAAGCAACCTGTGTTACGAATATGAAAGCTTTGGGGGGGGTGTATGATATAAATAAAATAAACAAATGAATGAAGGAAAAAAAAAAAGATTACGATATTTGGCATATTCTACCGGAGGTGCGATGTTTTAATAAAAAAAAAAAAATTTTTTGATTTGATTGATTGTGCTATGTTGGCTTTTTGTATTTTTCGTGTATCAATCAAATTTTTTTTTTTTTTTTAATGGACAAAGAAAAAAAAGAATTAAAGTTAGATTTATTTTGATCTGTGTAAGAGAAATTTTTTCGAAAAAGTGAATAAATGATGTGTTTGTATTCTAAACTTGTGTGGAATGATGTCTAATATCTAATTGTGAATGATGTTGTAATTGTCGTGTAATAATTATAAGTATTTGTGTTACAGTGTAAAAAATTCGATTATATAGAACGAGTTCATAATACGGAAAAAATCACCGCTGGCATCTTTTCAGAACGGTATTGGATTTCAAGAATTTTCAGGAATTTTTAGAATGTCATTGTTTTCACTTTAATATTTTTTTGTATTATACTTATATATATATTATATATTATATTAACCCCCCTCATTATAATACTAACAAATTAAGAATTCATAAATAAATAAATAAATAATACCAAGAAACGATAAATATTATCCATTAGGTAATGATAATGAACATTCGCTTGCGGTAATGAAATTATTGTAAATCAAGATATCTTTAAAATTTATTGTGTAAGAAAAAAAGGGAGATTCTATTTTGATATTTAAAATAAATTTTAGGTTAATGTAACATGTAAATCTTTAGTTAATTTATTATTTGTACTAATCAAAGCGTCGTCGTATTGTTTCCAGTCGTCACACAATCGTGACGATTAAGACAGAATTTAATGTTACGTCCGTGACATAATTTCCTTAATTGCGGTTTATTGATTTATTTGGGATTATCGTCTAGCATAAGCGAATTACAGTTGCATCCCATTACTTTCTTTATAAAGCTGGCCGAAGGAAAAAAAAAAAAAATCTTCAATTTACTAAGCCACATAACCTCTGCATGATAGAGACGACACTTGTTCGATAACCTCCCCCAAACAAGTAGTAATGATTCAAATAATGGTAAAGTTTATACAACTCTGATTATATTAAAATAATGAATATAAATGAAATAATGTATTTATTTATATCAATAATAAATCATACCTTGTCTTTGTTCGAAGTAAGGTTCCTGACGCGGATGATGTTTGTGATACTCTTGAAAGAAAGCTTTTTAAACAAATCAAAAAAATTTTAATTCTTTAAAACAATACTTTAAAGATGAAAATAATGCACACACATTATACATGTACATATATACATAATATAGATTACAATACCTCTTCCAGGACTTCCAAACATAGTTAGAATGCTTAATTCATATTCGTTATGACCGTAACAAGACGAAGGATCATAAACGATGGGTTCATTGGCATCTGAATCAACGCTCCAATTTCCGCTCCATAAATCTCCATGAACTAATACAGGTTTCACTTCAATATCTTTCATTAAATGATCAACAACCTTGTCAATAACAAACTCGACAAGCCTGCGTAATTCATCATCTCCTGGATTATTTTGTAAACACTTTTCCAATATATGTCTTAGTCTTCGTACTTTGTAGAATTCTGCCCAGGTATCTTCCCATGTATTATCTTGTTCTGTGGAGCCACACGTTGTCATCACTGAAAATCCGAATTTGCCATTTGGTGACTCCTTAGAATGCAATTCAGATAATTTTTGAGCAAACAATTTTTGCATAGATGATAAATTTGCTGTCGAAAGTCGTTTATATGTCGTAGCGATAAATGCACCTCCATTAGGAAATGTTCCAAGGCATA